AAACTCAAAGCCCAAGTGTTCCAGTTTAACATTTATTGTTTGCACTGACTGTCAGTATAGGATAAAACAGAAAGGGTGGGGATTAGACACCAATGTTCCTCCGAAGCTTTAGGCCTCAATCATGTATTAGGAAGAGATATGTGCAAACATTCTCTTTACCACAGCCTTAATTAGGTAGGTACTCTGCATCTCTATTCATATTTTATATTCATTTATTTATTTTTTTACCAGATACTGAGTCTTACCATTCACTGCGTTTTATAAAACTATGGAGATTATGCCTTGTGTAACGTAATATCATTTCATCCCCTACATACACCTAACGATTAAATTTGACTTTCAACTGAAAACTTGTCTGGAACATTATATCATTTTACTTATAATTTACAGATGATCAACGTGAAAACGATTCATTGAAAAGATAAGTATTCTAGCTGTAATCTCTTTTTGATTTTTCGATGACCAAATAGGGATTTTTGCGTCATTGAAAACAAATATCTAGAATTTTTTCTTTTACAGAGGATATTTAGATCATAGCTCAACGAAAATCACATTCCAGGTTGAAATGAATTAAAATCTATTCGTAATGATACTTACAAGTCCAATTCTTTCCCTGAAATAATCAAGACACGTAAATGTTACAGCGTATGTACACAACACACCCAGAATGTACACAAGAAAAAATGGATAAACGGGAAAAACTTAGAGTATAAATTGCTGTTCAGAAAATGCAGACTACTGGATTCCGACCCACCGACTAAACAACAACCAGCTTGAAGTGAGGTCTGACGGTTTTGAACCCTAAATTTCATGGATATATATTGCTGAGGAGTTCCAACCTAGGACGAAACAGGTGTGCAGTGCTCATCGGTTTTGAATGGTCCTCCGGCTGATTTAAATCCTCGACGAAGACCATCTTGAAGTAGTATTCGATAATCGAACCAAAATGGAATGAAACATTTTATTTAACATCCAGATACATTCTTCAGTTCTTAATAAGTAATAAGTCTTAAAGTACGGTGTTATTAGGCCTTAGACTTCAGTTAATTTTACAATGACTGCCAGAGGGTTTGTGGCAGAGCATCTGTTTTCTCGCACGAGGTAAATGTAGTCAACGAAGCTATTGTGGCGGTGCAGAGACGTGAACATATTCATTTTACTTGAAACGATCAAAAAATAATGCCTTAAAAAGTAAAACAGTATACCGGTTAGGTACTTTGTTAGTAAATGATAACAGACTATACTTTCCTTGATATTGACTTACCAATATCTGAAGGAAGCTCCGATAATTTATATGTCAGTGACGGTTGTCTTTCCGGACTCATGTCTAACACTTGCAATTCTCTTAACATAAATAATTCAGCAGGGACATTTTCCAAATCTTTTCCTTGCAATTTTAATTTTTTTAATCCAGGATAATCGGCATCATCTGTTTCAATATAAAGCCTTAGTGAAACATTTGCCATAATCCCCATAAAAAGATAATACTACGAGGTAGCGTAATCTTGTACTCAACAAATGATAAGATATACTGAGAAAATTTCATTTATATTCTGAGATATGAATGAACTTAATTGATACGCAGCGGTATGCGAAATCTTTCGTTTAACTGGTTACTAAGGTAAAAGAGGTCATAGTGACTATAGAACGAACGATCTGATTGGTCGGAACAGGAGTCAAGGTTATAGATACTACTGTGAAAACAAGATGAGCTATTTCTTCATAATCCAAATTCCAACAACCAATGGAAACTTGGTTATGAGTTAGAAATCATGAGCACAGTAACAGTAGTGGTAGAAAATAATGAAATTCAATTTCAACAATATTGAAGGTTGATATAGTTACTTTATGCGTGAAAAAGAAAACTGAAATGGTGAAGTTGGTGCTGATGATGTCTAGAAAAAAGATGGAAGGTCCACAATTAAACAACCCAGCTCGGAGAACACAATACAAACAAAAAAAGACAAATTATTTATTTCAAACAAAAATCAATAGTGGTTTTACATAAGACTTGTTTATTTCACATAGCCCACAATAACAGATAATATTATGAGCATAAATATTGCCCATAATCATGTAAAAGCAATCCTACACATTAGAATATCCAATTTTCTCACAGCCTTATCATCTCGGACTCTTTGTTTCAGTGGTGGTAAAATTTACATTTCCCGTATATGTGTCGCGTTATTCTTGTTAAGCAATGAGTGTGCATTCCATGAACGTAGATTTGGTAATTATTCTCTCCCTTCCTACTTAAATACATTGGATGTAAGTACAGTTGCTTTGCTTCACTCTATTGAAAAAGCTTGCATTTACGAGATTACTGATGTAAGTGAGGTCGATCATTCCACACTACGTAAAAATCATATGCTGTAATAGTCTCTGACAGATAAAATCAACGTAGAATCTCGCACAAAAGTGCATCATTTCAAGTTGCTACACTACACAGCACCATGCAGAAAAAGTGTGCGTAGGAAAAAAATCACATCAAAGGTGTGTAAGAGAAGAAATTTGAAAATCAAAGTTCGTGAAAATTTCCAAGCTTCGAAAGACCCCAAAGAGTGAATACATTTGACGCCACTGTGACCGATTTTTCACCATATTACCGAGAGCCTTCAACTACTGATTCCTATGGTCTTAACGACCTCAACCACGTAGTCAACACTTTCTTGTACGGCCAAGACATGTATGAAAATGCGTGGTATTGTTCAAGTCATCTTTCTAGGTTATATTTACGTCTCCGAAAGAGACATTCATTTATTTCAACCACGTTACCTTTTCTACCAAATTCCACATGCAACATGCGACGTAATCTTCGTTATAACTCATCAACGGTGAATGTAGAGTAAATAAATACGGAAAACGGACGCAGAGTGACCTTCGATAAGGCGCCCTCAACCTGATTGGTTGTCTTCAAGGTTTCCCATCAATAAAGTTTAGTTCTACCGTTTAACATATATATGATAGCTATTATAACATTGAAGTAGTCCTATTAGTTTACTTTGACTTACTGGTTATCGAAAAATATAATGCAGCTGTGTAAGAGTTTATCCTACAGAATACAAAATAAATATCATTCAGAGAATCCATATATTATATTGATTGATGGACATATAGCTCCTGTTAAAATATCAAATCCATACAAACAGAAACCTGAAATGAATCGTTAGAAGATGAGATTTTAGTCTTCCATTCCGCAGGGAAAAGAAAGACACCCTGCTGAGTACCATGAGACTTCCAAATTATGGGTTTGTTTGACTTTATGGCCTTGTTGGGACCAGCTGGGGCATACCACCATGTTTCGTCGGAATGAGGAGTACTGTAAAGCCATTCACACCAGAAGGCTATACCGTTAACAGAGGGTGATAGAGCCGTTTAAAGTGTTCTGACTGAATTGTATCAACTTTTTTAGGATCAGCATTTTGAAAATCAGAACCGAAATCAGGACTGTTGTGTAAAATCATATCAAATACTATGCAAGTATCTGATCTAGCCGTGTTAGGATATTCCCATAACGGATGAGGTTCAATCAGCTCATCACTCTTAGCCGATGCATCTAGGACAAGTTCATCAAATGGACGTAGATCAAAGATTCACAAGAAAATCCAACTGGTGAACGAATTCTCCAAAGGTTTTCAAAATCAGCTAGCACAGCGAAAATACGTAACCTTGTAGGACTCAATGAATACAAAGAGGAGTAGGTTAGATTGCATGAGAGCAGGTTTTGAAAGGCATACCAAAGTATAAGGAATCCCAAGGGAGAACTGCTGCAGTTATATATGGTTCACCAATCAGTATTAAAGCAGTTTTCGGAGATGGCAGTTTGTTGCAGTCATGATCAGTAAATTTAGGAGGAACCTGTTCAATTGCCTGACAGCTTTCTATAGTCAACTGAGATGACGGAATATAAGACCTATAAATGCGATTCAGAGTAGACAAGACGATGGAGACGTATCTAGATGAAGTATATGTGATTGTGCTACATGTTTGTCTAGACTTTTCGCAATTAAAAATGGTAAATATGTACAATCTGACACCACTAGAACTTTAGGTAATGAATTTGAACATTTTCGCACTGTTGAAATTACGGAATTGATAACCTTGGCGGAAAAATCTTTGTAATCAGAAGAATTCAATTCAGAAATACGTGTTCGAGGCCATACACGATGAAGGTCACAAGTACATGATAATGGGTCCACTTCTTTCTTGTTATAATCTCCCAAAGCAATTATTTTGTCATTTGAACTAGATACAGGAAATAAATCGAACTGCATAGACAAGGAGTCATGAAGGTAACTGATAATAAACGATGCATTCTTAGTTAGGTGATGTGCTGTTTTAGGAAAATAAACTGCTTGCATCCAGTGATCTCTCCAAGCACAATGAGGATCACCTGTCCAAGTGGGAGCAATGGTGATCGGTGAAATTGTGTTTGTAAATTCCATTTGTAGAGACCACCACATAATAAAAGCATGTGCAGTACCAGACTCAGAAGCAATACCTAAGAAATGAAAGACATGAGAAATACTTCTGGATATCATCTGGTTACTAACAACTGTGCCAAAGATATTCCAAAGTAAGTAGAATTTGATATATTCCATATAAAAACAAGAGCCAGCACCACTCATATAGCTGGCTTTACAAAGACTTTCATCATTCCTTCACAACAAGCTGCAAGTGAATATAATCCACTGGTAGCTGAAGCTGGAGTGGTTTCTGAAATGGTTTCAGAGTTTCGGTCTGTGATGCAATAAGGTGGGAGAGTAAAAAACACCAACGAGAAGTTTAAGAAACTGTTTAACTAAGCAAAATATCGACTATTAGTTCTTTGCACACTAAAAAAGGGATATAATTAAACAAACTAAAACTACATAGAATACTGCATAGAATACAATTATGGTCATAGAACCTCTCTATAGTGTGATCTCTTACATACCAACACATTTTATTCGATTATTCACCAGAAAATAATGAAGGCTGGAAAATAAGCGAGAACTTACATTTTAGATAAATCATATCATCCAGTTTAATCTGATCTGCAGGGGGGCCAAATTCAAAGCGTTTAACAAGTTGAGGACTGTCCAAAAGACAATGTATGCTTCTATCAGACGAGGTGGATTTATTATTTTCTAAATGAAGTTCTGAAACTTGAATATCAAATACAGACGGAAGTCCTGAACAGGATTCAATTTCCGGGCACTGAAACTCTTTCAAATCTACTACTATATCACCACTTTTATATTCATGTGGAAATAAACGGTGATGAGACCAAAGGAATGAAGACTCAACAATCTAAATGATACAAGGAGAAATTAATACGCAATATAGTACACTGATACAACTTTTAAACGGTAGCTTCTTACATGAAATAGCAGAAAACGTCTTCCATTAAGATCACAAAATCATGCGTTTAAAAACGCTCTTTCTGGTGTGATGCAAACGAAGGGGAATCAAGTTGATGACAGCTTCCCATTCCCAATCGTCAATTGGACGGAACTGACAGGTAAATATTGGCAAATGAGTATTTTGTAGATGCCTCGATATTGCATTTAATTTCGGTTAAATAGTAATGCTGGTAACAGGTAAGCAGTGAAATACAGATGTGTTTTGGTCGTGGAATACGGAAATAATACTCATAACCTATTATTGTGAAACGATAAAAAGGTTCTAATTTCAAGTTAAGTAACTTCCTTGACAAGATTTGAAGAATAACAGCTGTGTAAACGTATATGAACTTACATGAACAAGTAGGGTTAGGGTGTGGCAATATAGCCCAAGAGATGTCTGCTCGAGACCAGTCAAAAACGATCGTCTTAGAGGTTTGATATATTTATATATTGGTCTTGAACTTGTCTATAAACTCGTATGGTCAGTACCAGTATGTCACAGGGTTAAGAGTATAGTATGTTAAGGTCTCATGTTTTCTAGTTCCTCACCTTCGCATAGGGAAGGCGGAACATAAACGTGGCACTACTAGTCATCTGCAGAAAACGCCTTATTGCTGTCACACCCCATTCCAGCCAGCATTACGACTCCACCCATAGACCTCTATCACAGCGCGGAAATTTACACTTTAATGGTCACTACTTTTGTCTTACCACTATCTGTCTGAATTTTCTTGCATGGTAATACCTCGAGGGAACAAACGTTTCACCTGCATAGCTCATTGGATTTTTGTGATGTACAAGCCCGACCACCACGTCAGGGTAGGAGCTGTCGGGCGAGTAGAGTTACAGGAGCGGTGGGGATTTGAGTGACTTGGTTGGAAATTTATAGCGAATACGGAAATATTACTCATAACCTATTATTGTGAAACAATAATAAGGTTCTAATTTCAAGTTAAGTAACTTCCTCGACAAGATTTGAAGAATGACAGCTGTGTAAAAAACGTATTTTAACATCAGACTGCACAGCATATATTTTGCAAGAATTTAAGCAATAGATGGCTGATACAGTTGGCGTCCATGAAGAACTCAGGAATGTAAGCGTCTTTTAGTAAATTTCGACATACTACTTAGAAAAGTGAAGTAGTTTTTAGCAAAGAAAACTGCCAGAACTCATTGGGAAAATCGTTGCCCAAGAAACATTAATACTAAGATATTAGTTCACCTTTCCCTATGTATAAGAACCTCAGGTACACTATTTCAGAATTCTAGTCTAAAGTATACCTGACATAAACTATTTTTCATTTGGTGATAAACTGTAAGGTCTAAAACGTTTTCCTATATTACTCTGTAACACAAATGTGCACCCTGGCAAAACTGTGTAACACTACATTGTTGTGTTTCAGATCAGCATTTAAGGGAGCGATATCAACAATGAAAACATGGAAAAATAAGCTATCGAAAGCTACAGAAAGAGTACGTGAAGCGAAGAGGGAAATCAGTACTAACAAATTATACTATTACCAACCTAATTCCTTTCTCAACTGTCCACTGGAAGACATCAAAAACAATGGCGTAGGTAGCCGAGAAGTACCAACCACGCACTCGCCTCCACTTGTGTACGAAGTTCATCTGACTGGCATCTAGCTTTCTTACTTTTGTAGTAACTACCCGCTCCTGCCACCAAAATTTAAGTTTCCAGTAGTTTCCTCAACTTGTCACCTGACAAACATTGCTAACCACTCCTCACTACAACCCACTGTACCATAGATAGCAAAGCACAACCTCTAATTTCCTCAAAGCTAAGCTGTCAATTTCACATTCAACCTATCAATGTCCCCACTCTATGCCAAACCACACAACAGGCCACGAATGTGTGCTTTTTTTCTGAGACATACCAACAAGAAACCCAGGTGTAGCTGCTCATTTGAACTCACCTATCCAATTTCCTCACTACGAGACAAACGTTCGGAAATAGTCATACAAGTGTATGACTACAACACCCAAGTATGGAAGCCAAGCCAGTCAGAAAGACACTTTACAGGTGTCGACAGTGAAAGAGTACTCCAGGCCAACAAACCAACGTTCGTGACCGTCTCTTAAAATTCTGATCTGAGAATAGCTTGTTTCTGGACAGCGCTAACATCAAGCATAATGAGTGACATTGTCTCACTTCACTTCCACTGACATCAAACCAACGCTCATTTGACACAGATAGATCATATTCCTGTCAATCATAGTCATGGAGTGTCCATGAAGAACTGCCACTATTTTTGCAGTAACTGCACAACCACCACCACCACCATGCATTATTACGAGAACAGGCGTGTTCACAGCTCGTGGAATGTAGGGGAGTAAAGAGCAGTTAAACCCCCGTGTAATCGACTGGAAGATGAGAGCGTCAAGTGTGGGTTTCAAGAGAAGACAGCTAAGCATTCACCCGAACAACGCAGCAATTCTCACCCACATGAAGCCTGATATAATCTTTAGTCTGCTGTAGAAACAGTGATAAAGACAGTCGGTAAGCTATATCGAAAGGTTAGTGGAAGCCAGTGGATTTTCCACACCTAACCCTGAATCAGTGATGCGAGGCGGTTCATCCTAGCTGCTGATGACCACAAAGCACAAAAAAAATATAAAGAGTAAAAATAAACTTTCTCCCCGTTGGAATCGGAGAGGCGAAATGACAACAGTTCGTGAAAGCCTTCGGGAAGTCAGATGGTCGATGTGTCTTGGCGAAAGGGAAAGTAAGAATAGAGACATGGAATGTCCGAACAATGTTTGAACCTAGCAAGGCTACCCAGATTACAAACGAGATGAGAAGGTATAGCACTGGAGTGTTAGGAACCTGCGAATGTAGATGGAATGGAAGTGACCTCTTCAAACTGTCAACTGAAGAGTCAATAATCTACTCCGATGTTGTCACCCAGATGACGACCATGAGCACTGAGTTATGGAGTGGATATCATGATATCCCCAACAGCATCGAAGGCTCTCTCTCATGCAGTGGGAACCGATCTCTTCCAGGATCCGGATCATGACACCAAGATTCAAATCAAAAGGAAGGAAAGTCACAATCGTACAATGCTACGCTACGCTACACACCTACAAGAAATGCAGATGGGGAGAAGAAAGAGGAATTCTACACATAACTGCAATCAACACTGGACAAGACCCCATCCCAGTTGGCGACATCAAAATTCATTCTAATGGGTGACATGAATGCCAAACTAGGAGCAGACAACACAGGAAGAGGACTCATCATGGGTCGAGAAGCACTCGGTGAAATGAACGAGAATGGAGAATTGTTTGCAGACTTCTGCGCATTCAACGATTTGCTGATTGGAGTCAGGCAGTGTGTACAAGCACAAGGATATTCACAAGGGAGTGGCACGGATTCCACCAGATGGACACATTAAAAATCAGATCAACATCATTTCAATGTGAAGAAAGTGGAGACGCAGCCTACTGGACACAAGATCAGATCAAGAAGAGAGATGAGCAGATGTAGGCTCAGACCACTCACTGTCTAGTGCATGGAACCTACCTTCAAAATCAAGTTGAAAGCTTTCAAGGAAGTTGCTGATAGACCACAGTTCACGTTCAACACCCACAACACAAAAGGAACTGAAGGATGAAACTACGAAGAAAATCTTCACGTCAGCCAGCCATCAAGACAAAATGGGAGATATTGAGCAACATCCCTGAAGAAACCTGTGTGGATGAGCACTGGAACTCTCTGAAAGCTGTATGGAAAGAAACCTGGATAACTGTATTAGGAGGGAAGAAAGAAGACAAGGAATGGATCTCGACGGATACATGGAAGCTGATAGAGGAGGGATGGGAAGATGGTGAAGCAGAAGATAAACCAGTGCAAGCATGATCAACAAGAAGAGGAAATGAGTACAATGTATAAAACACTACACTGGACAAAGAAGTGAAGAAAAGTGCACACAAAGACATTTCCACGACACACTGGTAACTGAAGCACAACAGGCTGCAAGTAAGAGAGACAGAGACCTGACAACACAATATCAAATAACCAGGTTACTATCTCCATCTGGGAGGGAAGAGATCAATACAGATGAAACCAATAAAAGATGATGAAGGAAATTTAATCAACAAAGAAGAGAAACAAAGGAAACGATGGACTGAACACTTCAAAAAACTCTTCAATCGACCACCACCTGCACTTCGTCCAGAAATACCACCTGCAGCCCAGCCACAGAACTACCAGTGAGCACAAATCTTCCAACAAAGGTCGAAGTCCTGAGCGCCATAAAGCTACTGAAATCCGGGAAAACAACAGGACCAGATGGAATCTCGCCAGAAGCACTGAAAACAGACGCAGAGACAACAGCGAACAGGCTCACATCACTACTGCAGAAGGTTTGGAAGGAACCTGTATATTGGAAGAAGGGCTACCTTGTCAAACTCCCAAACAAGGGAGACCTAAGCCTTTGCAAGAACTGGCGCGGAATCACTCTCCTGTCCACCTCAACCAAAATATTAAGCCGCATCATCCTGGAGAGACTAAAAGATGCCCTGGATTCAAAACTACGACCAGAACAGGCTGGCCGAATTCAGAAAGAACAAATCATGTGTGGATCAAATTGCAACGCTATGCTACGCATCATCATAGAACAGAGTATAGAATGGCAGTCAACTCCACTCAACCTCAACTTCATCCACTTTGTGAAGGCCTTTGACAGCGTCGACCGACAAGTAATTTGGCAGTGGCTTCAACACTACGGAACACAACAAACCTTTATCAATCTCATTCAACAACAGCTGTATGCTTTATGATTCTACATGCCAAGCGGTTCACAATGGAAAGCTGAGTGACACCTTTGAAGTGAAGACAGGAAGGAGTAAGACAAGGCTGTTTACTACCACCCATGATATTCC